CCAAGCACAGTGATCTCTTAAAACCACAAAACCTATTTATGTCACTCCTCTGCTTCAAATCCTCCCAGTGTCTCCCCACTGTCCCAGGTTAAGATCCAATCTCCTTAACAAAGCATAAGGCCCCCTCGTGATTGGTCCTGGATTTCCTCTTTCCTTTCCCTTCTCTTCATTTTCAGATGCTGTGTCTATGAGCCCACGGAGTGTCTATTACACTAAATCACTGGGACTTGTTTTACCGTCAGTATCTCCTTTAGTGCAAAAGCTCACTGAAGACAAGAGTTGTGTCATATTTGGTGCTGTATCACAACCAGGGTCTGTGAGAGTGGATAAACTCAATTAAAATAAAAAATTTAAAAAGTAAACAATATCTTGGATTCCTCCATACTTTTTACTCTAATTTTACTTTTACCATAGGTTATATTTTAATAATATATATTGTACTAAATTACAAGCTTCTGGAAAAGTATAGTTCTCCAATATTCTCCATTTTAGATCCATTTACTACTATCCCATTCCAAAGTAATGAACTGAGGTGACATTTATGACTTTATGACTCCTTCTATGCTCTAACGCTGATTATTAATCATTTGTCTAAGAGAGAAAGAAAAGAATTTAAACTGCAGCAAGTCAAATTATACTTAACCATTATATTGAATTTATTGACAATGAGGCTATCTGAAATGAGTAGGCTGCCTCAAGAGGAGGGAAAGAAAAATGAATGACAATGAATTGCCTAGAAAAGCTTAGTTATTTGCCCAGTATTTAGATGTGATTGCCTAGTGAAATTCATTTAAACTTTATGAGTCTCTGATTTGTTCCCCAAAATTTGGTGGTAATAATTCGGGGTTCAGGTTGAAGAGAGTAATCTACTCTGAACCTCAGTTTCTTAATTTAAGTAATTTTAAAGATTCGAAACACAGAATCTACTGGGGATTTAAAATTATTATTTAACATAATGGTGATTCTCCAATCCAATTTTAATACTTTTTATTTCAGTCTTCAAGACTACAGATTATTGCTTCTACTTGTCAGTTCACATTTAGATGAAGTACACATCAGAAGCATCATTGTTCAGAGAGGATAAAGGCATTTTTCTTTCCATAAGCCATAACCTATCCCTTGGGTTGATTCCAAAACAATGCCCTAAATCTACACTGTTCAATATAATAGCCATTAGCCACAGTGGCTATTGAACATTCCAAATGTGGCTAGTCTGAGTAGAAATGTGCTATATAAACAGAGATGTGTAATGTAAAATACATACCAGATCTGGAAGTCTGGTATGTATATCTGTTTACCTAATTGTTATTAATTTTACACTGATCACATGTTGAAATAATATTTTAGATATACAGTTAAAATGTTATTAAATTAATTTCACATAGTTCTTTTAACTTTTTATTTTATCATTATTTTTTTTTGAGACAGAGTCTCACTGTGTTGCCCGGGCTAGAGTGCCATGGTGTCAGCTTAGCTCACAGCAACCTCAAACTCCTGGGCTCAAGCAATCCTTCTGCCTCAGCCTCCCAAGTAGCTGGGACTACAGGCACGCACCACCATGCCCGGATAATTTTTTCTATATATTTTTAGTTGTCTGATTAATTTCTTTCTATTTTTAGCAGAGACGGGGTCTCGCTCTTGCTCAGGCTGGTTTCGAACTCCTGAGCTCAAACAATCCGCCCGCCTCAGCCTCCCAGAATGCTAGGATTACAGGTGTGAGCCACCGCGTTGGGCCTCTTTTGACTTTTTAAAATGTGAGTACAAGGAAATTTAAAATTATACAGCGGCTTACATTTGTGGCTTGCATTATATTTTGACTGGACAGTAGCTCTAAGTCTACGTAGAGAACTGATGAACACTTATAAACTGTTTCCTCTTGGCGGAATAAAAAGGATCATTGAGAGATCAGATGCGAAAATGGAATCACCAATGACATACAGAAATACAAATCCCTAAAACTTTAAAACTGGTAAATCATGCTAAAAATGAAAGATTGCTTTAGTAAAACCTAATAAAGTGCCTTTCTTCTCTGAAATAAAAAGAAATCATATTTTAACCTTTATTTCCTAGGAATAAATTTTATTTTTTACTAAAATTATTCTCTGGGTATTGATAGAGTACAAGAAATAGGGATTCTAAGATATTAAAGTGACACTTCCCTCTCAGCAAAAAAGGTTAAGTACTAGAAATGTTATGGTATTCTTATTTATTCCTTTCTTTAAAAAAATTAATTTAATTTAATCCTCTACCTATCTCACATTTCATTTTTGTAAAATCCCAGGAAAATATTTTAGAGAATGTATATTATATTAATCAGGCAAGGTGTACTTTAGAATCCACTCAATAAAATAATTCCCATTATCCAACCCTCATATTTCACTATCCTCTCACTACCGTTTAACATATTCTTTAGTATTTCTAGAAACTCCAACAAGACAATACAAACAACATTAAGACAATTATAATTTCTAATTAATAATTAATGATTCTACTTAAAATATAATGTTATATCTGAATGAATAATTAATGATTCTACTTAAAATATAATGTTATATCTGAATGAAATACATTATAGTAATTTAAATGTTCTTAAACATTTCTTTTTACTGATTGTATCATAATAATTTAAATGTGCTTTCTAAAATGTAACACTTTACGAAGAAGCAAGATTTAAAAAAAGGTATGATTAAAGCCCTAATTGGTTTTAGAAAGACCACTATCAGGAGGTTCTTTAAATAGCCTATGTAAACATGTGTTATATACTTTTCCAAAGTATTTGAAAGTCACTGAGTTATAGGTTCCAAATTAGCTGATTATCAATACAGAAAATACAGGTAATTTATCAATGCTCTATCCACTACCCTATGGATATTTGGGTGGGTGTGGGGTGCATGGAGAAGAAGGAAAATATACATATTGATTAGAAGAGTAAGTGGGTTTCAGCAAAGTTAGTTCTGTAGAAAATTTCTGTACTTCTGAACATAATGAAATGATATTTAACAATGCATATATTTCTAACCAGGTTCCAATCACCTGGACACTTAGAATTTTAAATTCTTTTATTTTTTTTAAACTTCTCCCTTAACCTGGTACTTCACTTCTTCATATAGATGCCCTATATAACATCACTAAAAAACTAGAAATTACAGTAGCACAATAGCAAGAACTGAAATTCCAGTATTTGTCTAATAATAGTTGTTTTATTAAAGCCTCTGGGGCATGCAAAGAAAAGGGAAATGAATTTGAGTCCTTATTATTTGTGAAGAAACAGAATAATTTGAAAGATGAGGGAGGATAAAGGTAAAGAAGATCAAGTGATTTTTTTTCTCGATGTTAGGGTTATTTTGTTTAGATTTCTTTTTTTATTTTTTCACTGGCAGGGTATTTTAAGGGAAGTAGTCAGTAAAAATGAAATCAGATACACACTAATTAAAGAATCTTGAGAGAAAAAGGCTGAGATTTAGGAAAAAGAGACAAAACACTACCAGGATATATCATATGCATCTTGTGCCCTTCAAAGGATTAAGCAGGAATACCTAGTACTGATAGAGGCAGAAAGCTGAAGGTATGTATCTATTATCACTATTATGAAGCAGAAAAACATAATTCTCAAATTCATTACTTCATTTTTGTTTACATTTCTAGTACCAAACTTACATAAGAAGTTAAAATTTGGTCAAATGAAAGAATTTGGAAGTAAAAAAAAAATCACAAGTCTTCAACTTGAGAACAAAAAGGTTTATCAATGTTTTCGTGTATCCATATCTCTTATTATTTCTCAAAAGAGTTAAACAAGTAATTAAATAGCTTTGCAATTAGAGGTAAAATTTTAAAAAATTATTAAAGTGTTGACTAGTCTTATTTAATTTTATCTAAATATCCATTTCAAAATTATTTACTGGTGATTCTTAAAGAGTATGATATATAATTTTCAAGATTATATATCGGAGTACATTATTTGTGAGATAAAAAAAATCCTGGTAGATGGCCCAATACTACTTCTTCAATAAAGTATCTTTGTTATCAGCAATGTACCCTCACTAAGTAAGATAAAGTATGTGAATACAGTTTCTAGACTGTAAAGTATCGGACCTAAGATAAGGTGCAATGATCATTACACTGAAAATTTTTTAAGAACTGTATAGTAACGTACACATTAGTAATGTAACTTTTCCTCTTTTAGATTCCAATATTTCTCATATGGCACTTATTTTTTTCTTCCATATGGTATAATTATTTATGTGTAAGTCATATTTCTTTATGAAACTATAAGGAGCTTCAAAACCACAGGCATTACGTCTCATTATACACAATACCTTGCAGAAAGCGACACTATGTAAAGAAAATAAAATACTGTACTTCTGAGGGTAGAAGCAAAAGTCTAGTAAGGATTAGATTAGCTACTGTGCAAAAGTTTGTAATCTTTATATTAGTGAACACGCATAGATAGAAGGACTCTTATTTCCATTTAGTAATACTACAATGCCAAGCAAAGTCAGGTATGCATTTAGAAACAGCAGCAGGCAAAAGATAATTATTTTAAGAATGGGCACATGGGATATCTAAATACATATGTCTGAGATTTTTCTCACAGTATTTTTCAGACTATAGTAATTTTATTGAGTTTGGAATTCCATTGAGCATGCTGCTTCACATGCTTTCCATCTACACTACTATATTTTTCCTTCAACAAAAATATTTCAAAGAAGTGGGGGTGGGGGAAACACTCCACAACTAGAAACAGAGGGAAGAGAGGGTGAGAAAGACAGACAGACAGACAGACAGACAGAGGAGAGAGAAATATTTAGGACATAGACATGGAAGAGAGACAGGGACAGAGAAAGAAATTCTGTGGTTTTTGACCATTTAATTAAGGCCTCATTTTCTGAATCTTATGTTTAGTAAACAGAGTTGTATTGTAGTATAGAAATTTTCAACATTCATTCCACAAGGAACACATTGGCAATGCAATAACAACAGCAAAGCAAAACATTTTTTACCTTAATATCAGATGTATCACGCTGACTGTTTCGCCAAGCTCGGGAAACTGATGAAAAAGTTCGATCTGCATGATCAAATTTCCCTCCTTGCAAATTTAGGAAATAAGTTGTAAAGGGTTCCTAAAAATAGCAAGTAAAAAAAAATCCGTATGTTCCCTCATGCATAAAAATGTGTTTTTTTATAAATCTTTAGATCTAAATATTTTCATGACTAATAGGCATTAGATAGTATATACTAGGTATAGAATGGAAATGCTATCTAAATTAATACATTAAAGTTCTTAAATTATTTTTCCTTCAAAAGAATTATTTCTAAATATTTCCAAAATTTGATATTTGCAACATTTTCTTCAGATTTCCTTCTTTTCCCAGAATAATTTATTAATAACATTCAGACATAAATTAGATGCATTTTGTTCACAGTACAAGGAAATAATCCAATATGTAATTTTCCTATTGTTATGGCTCAATATTTAATTTATGATTAAGAAAAGAAAAATGTTGGGAAGATTTAAAAGCCTCCTCTTAGTTAAAGAACACTTAAACACATATTAGTGGATAATTGCTTGAAATTAGCTAAGCACTATAAATTACTTCTAGGATTTATGTCTGCCTGTACCCTTTTAACAAGCTTTAATTAATGATGTGCTGCTAATGCTTTCCCAAAGAAATTACTTTCTAGTAGATGAATCACCTTTCAATTTTATAGAAACATTTCTTGTTTAACCTATATATTATCAATACACGACAGCCTTGGTATTTATTGCCAACAATCTTACCTTATTCCATTTAGGGCAACTGAAGTTTCCAAAATATATAAATATATGTTTGTGCTAATGAAATCTTATTTAATTCTTTTTTTTAATAGACTACATTGTAAAGGAACCTGTTACAATTTAGAATCTGGTAAGATAGCAACCATTTGCAGAGGCAAATTTAAGGAAAAAATTCACACAATTCCAGGTGAAATATATTCAAGTCAATTCTACAGTAGTATGTTATAAAATACATACCAAATGAGATACAGAGATATTTATAATTAGAACCTCAATCATTTAAAGTGATGTTTAGCATTAAAAAAAGATGCTGATGATTTCTGATTATTGCATATTCTCTACAACATTGAATTTATTTAGTCATGGTTTATTATCAAGTAAAACTTACTATTCTTAGCAGCCATGCAAGAACAAAACTTGCAGTTGAGTAATGAGTACCATAGTGAAACTTTGGAACTTGATCATCTTCCCATGATTCGTAACGCTCTGCAAAGAATGCTGCTCTTTTTGGGTTCAAAGCTCCTACTGGCTGCCATTAAAAAGGAAAAAAACCAAGAATACATGAATGCAATCATCCTTTATCTCTTCCTCTCTTCTAATGTTATGCTATTAGTAATTGTGAAAATAAATTTTTAAAATATATACTATTTAAGCCAAAGAACAGTGTGGCATTCAGAGAATGGATGAAAAAACAAATCTATTTTTCAACATATGTTAAACATACACATATCATATAAGTAGGTAGATGGATAAACCTGTCATTTCTCCATAAATCTAGTTTCTGTTGAATACAGGTTTTTAACTAGCCCATACAAGCATCGCATAAAGACAATTACATGAAGTGAATATTAGCCATACAACACTTTGGAAAGCACCTGTAAAATTCCATTTGCTTAATTAGAAGCAACAACTACAAACAGAATCTTGAAGCTGGAGGAATGACTTATGTTGGATTCAGAGGAAAGAATGGAACAAAACTGGGACAGAGGTGAGACAGAATGCAAGGAAGAAATTGTGTAAAAATGGGATTAAGGTGTAACTAGAAATTTCTATTGGTATGAGTGGAACCAGAAATTAGAGGATAAATGTAAGCCTACATGAGCTATAAAAATATATATAACATAGAAAGAATAGTAGACAGATTATGAGCTTACACTGGAAAATAATACAATACAGCAAAAGTTCCAGAGCAATATAGCAACATGGTAATGAAACTGGGCTCACTTGATAATAATATTCAGAAAGTTGTTTTGGAATTTAAAATGAGTTAGCACATTACAGTCCTACAAACAATGCCTGACAATATTTAATGAATGCTAAGTATGATTTTTAAGATGATGTTTCAGAATTGGGGTAAGGAAGTTTGAATAAAATAATTACCTTTAAAGCCCCTAGCACATTGCTTGGCATAACATAAAAGCCTAACAAATGTTACTTGGTACCTATATCAGTATTATTGCATCTGCTGTTGTTATTTAGGGAATACACAGACTCCATTAAATAGCAGGCAAATTTTTGTATGAGCACGCACATGTATTAATACATTTTCTTAAGGAAGACATAGAGAATATCCTTGAGATTCTCAAAGGGGTCTAGGGCTCAAAGAACATTAAGATCAACTGCTTTAAATAACAATTCATTCTCTCAAAACATTCTGATCTCCAGAAGATCTCTATTCCTTATTCAAAATATAAGTACCAATTCACTGAAAAAAGATACATGCATGTAAGATTACTTCTCTTAATAAGATGCATAACAGATTTTTTGGTTTTATATATTATATGAAAATCTATGAGTTAGTCATTTCTCATTTATAAGAGAAAGAAAATATCTGATTATTTATGGGGAAAATGTTAAATAAATTAAAAATGTTAGCTTAAAAATGGATGTATTGAGAAATATTCTGTCAGAAATGAAGCAATGTTCAGACCAGTTTTCGAATTGCTTTTCATGTTATATGATTTTAACCAACATTTTAAATTTATCATTTTGGTTATCTTTATTAATTAACTATTTTTTCAAAACTACTATTTATCTTTGATACTATTCTCTTTCAATAGGTTG